GGAGGCCTAATCTATGAGATCTTATTGGCCTAGTGGAGGTAATTGGCAGTAGGCGGTCTCTCAAGTACCCAGATTACTGATAGAACCTTTTATTTGGACTAGGAATGATCAATCTGGACCCACCAATGATGGGAAGCAAAGCAAACTCTAAAACATCTTGAGAATACCGGGTTGCATGTCCTTAGCCTAGACTGATAGCTAGAATAAGGATAGTTGGATTTAAATTCTCATGAAATAACAAATAACCTTTATGAGTCAGTTTCTACAATGTCTCGTGGAACCTTTTGGCAAAGGGAACATGTTGTGTTATATTCCTGATTTATCTTGAGGAACAGTCGGATAAAGAATTATTGCGTTTTTTTTAAATGATGGCATTATATGCCCTCTTAACTTTATTGAACTCAAACCGGTATTACTTGTTTCTTTTCAATGAACCATTCAGCCTGTTATTGGTGGCATCCATTTTTGATGTCACGCTCTATCAATTTTGTAAATCGGTTTTGTATGTTGTAAGAACCTCCAAGAAATATGAAAGGCATGGTTACCTTCCAATTCGTCACCCATTCAATGAGCCCAACAAAGATGAATAATTCTCTTGCATACCTTTTCGACAAGGAACCATACCTGAGTTGCAATTGCTTTGGCTGTTTTCCTATTGTCTCCTGTGATAAGCACCACATCCACTCCCATATTCTGCAATATGTGCATTGCTAAGGCTGCCTCTGGCTTGACTGTGTCTGCTATTGCCATCATGCCACAAAGTGCACCTACAAAAAAACCCATATCTTTACTTACATTTATGAGATCTCTGTGTCATGGCTTCTCTGGGAAGCTATAAATAGCCCTTGATGTGAAATCACCTTCGAGCCTGGAATTTTGGTTGTAAGTTTTTATGATTATTAAGCAAAGTGCCCACATGATGGCCTTGTTCAACGACTGCAATCTAAGCTCTCTCTGTTGCTAAATGAGATACCCTGTGTAATTAAGCAACTACACAGGGGTATTTCAGAACTGGGAGGCCCAGGAAGGCCCAATACCCATTGGTATATGGAAACCTCCCATGGCTGGGCAGTGTCAGCTGGCTAGGTCCACCAGAGCAGGGACCTTCTTCTGCCCCACTACAGCAGGGTCTAGTTATGTTTCTGTTGCCGTGCTCCATCCTGCAGATGGGCCCCATTCTCACAATGGTTTGGAAGACTCCTCCAAATTGTGCAAAGCTGCCAGAAGACAGGAACAGTTAAGACAAAAGGGGCCATTCAGGAGAAAGGCTTGGAGATGATTGGCCCCTCCCATAAGACATGAACCACAGTGAGAACAATGTCAATTGTTAGCATGTTCTCCTTTGGAAAGGAAGATGCTAGCAAACCTGGTATTCCGAAAGACTCCGACCCTCAGACCTCCATAACACCGAGGCTCAGAGTCTGTAGTGTTTTCTCCTCTGGAGAGGAGAAGGATGCTAATGGAAGAGGAGGATTCTGGAGGAGAAAACTCTAAAGACTCTCAGAATCAATGTTTCCAGGTAGTCCTTTCATTCTGTGCATGAAAGAAAACTATTTCTGCGGGCCGGTTGAACAGGGCTTGGAAAGATCCAAGAGAAGGAGTCATCCAAAGGTGTTTTTTTTTTCCAAAATGCAACTGGACTGGACCGAATAAGCTTCTTAGATGATAAGCAAAACGTCTTCAAAGGAAAAAAGAAACAAGTCAGTCCAATTGCCTTTTGAAAAAAAATATATCTTTGGGACCTGGAAGATTGAGAATCTCCATAGACAGGGAAGGAGTTCTGTTCCATACAGAGACTGAAAGAGCTGCCTGTCAAAATAAGGCAGGCAGCTCTTTCACTGTGTGAAGGAAATTCTTTCCCTGGGTAGATTGAATGGGGCTTGGATGTCAGCGTTCCAAGTAATAGGTCCATCGCAAGCAAAAACTCCAAGGCAGGTGGACTACTCAAAGAATAGCTTTATTGGAAATATCATATTGGTGTTGTGGCCTGCCAGATTTGGACAGTGAGGAGGTTGGGGAGGAACATAAGCCTGTCCTGGAGTCTGGGGAAGGCTCTGATGAGAGTCTCTGTGTCGGAGGCAGAGAGGGGGCCAGAGCTGTATGCCAGTTATCAACTGCCTTCAGAGTCAGACATCAGTGAGACAGACGAACAGCTGGAGCCTGTTCCCAGTGTGCAGAGTGGCCAGACGAAGGGAACAGCTAAAGAACAGGGGTTGACTTGGGAGTAAGTCCACAGGTAGAGGATGAATGGACCCTCCCAGAGGAAATAAAAGAGGAGCGAAA